TGGGAGGAGGGGAGTTATGGGGGGGAAAAAAAGAGGAACAAATGTAACACCTGAACAAAAGATTTAATTAAAAATAAATAAATAAATAAATAAACAGACAAAAACACACAGACAAAAACCATAATCACAATACTATTGTTGCATCTAAAATCTTTTTAAAGTCTTTAATGGCAGTGAATATATGTTGTCTGAAAGAATGAATGAATGATGAAGCCTTGGGGAAAGCGTTGTTAGTTGGGGTGGTCACTGACGGTGTGGTCCGGTAGAAAGTACATTAGTCTGGACTCAGCGGGACTTGAGGTCAAATAGAAAGTCTTCTACTTTTTGTTTCCATCAAAATGCCCTCGGTTTCTATAACACAGCACCTGCCTCAGCACTCACAAGGCTATTGTCAGGATCAGCAATCCAACAGGGAGCTGTGGTTCAGTGCAAGGACTGGGCAGCCAAACAGAGATCAGCGAGCAAGGTCCCCACCATTTACTCTCCCTGAGCCTGTGAAGTCATCTGTAAAATGATAATAATAATACTTGCCTCTCAGGATTGTGCTAAGAATCCAAGTATGTTAAGTAAACCTTCAGTAAAAGGTTTGTATTGTTTTTGTGCGAACTTGCTTTGCTAAATTAGAATACTGCCCAAATTTATAATGAGAAGTAACGTTTCCCATGTCCTTTATATTCTCAGTCTTTGGAACTGTCGTCCTCTTCAAGGTGCTTTAGAAATTATTAAAAAGATGGAAGTGTTGTTTCAGTGCTCACCCAATGAAGCTCCTCACTGTCAGGAGGCCAGTCTGGTGTGAGCTGCTCTCCTTGGCCCTGGCACTAGCTGAGGAAAGGCCCTGGATCAAAGATGTCCTGGCAGCAAGAATATTCACACCCACTCTTGAGCCAGGAGGTAGGTGTTAATGTCTCTAGCTGGATTCCTAGAAGCAGAGATATTTAACACCTTCCTAGGATCCATGAACCAGGCACTCTCTCTTTAAACCTAATTTGGCAGGTAAAAGGGAAAGAGCATTTCCAGTTGAGCAGTTGAGAAAGAACAGGAGGCTCTGTGCCACCAGGACAGAAGCCAGTTATTGCGGGATGAACCCTAAATGGAGAAAGGGTTTTCTTTAACTGGGTTGTCCGGAGAGTGACTTTAGTAAGGACTTTTCCCAACAAACCTCACCCATATGGACCAATGGGGATGTTAGGAAAGTAGTGGTTCTAGGACAGTGTACAGATGTATAAAGTTTAGGACGGATTAGAAAGCCACATCTGGCTGCAGCTTGAAATAAGGTACTCTGACCAGCATGCTTGCCTGAGAGATTCTGTTCCCAGGAGGACCAGGAGTTCCTTTCTGGGGCCAGATGTAAGTAGGGGGACTCAGAGGAACCAGTTTCTCAGGAGAAAGAACAAGGAGTCAAGTATCTCAACCAAGTTGTCCTTTGAAGTGGAACCCAACTAGCTTGGGGTCAGTTTGGAGGATGCTATGGATGGCTTAGCCACAGAGTTCATGGTGGAAGTTAGGCAACTCCAGGAATGAATAAAAACTCGATTTTTAAATTTTTTTGTCAGGGTTTGACTGGCAGCAGTGGTGGATTCTGACGTAGACTGAGCTCGAAATGTGCTTGCTTCCTCTCCAAAACTGAGGCCCATTTGCACAACAAGCAAAAAGGACAAGGTAAACAACTTCTATTTAGACTTTCCAAGGTCTGTTTCTCTGGATGACATTGCAAGAACCCTATGACACCACCTCACCCAGGAGTGAGCCCAAACACTAGGGATCCTTTCAACATCCAAAACAGGTCACCTCTTTGAAATGTGACAGCTCCCTAGAATGACTTTCTCATTTAAATTACATGGATATCCGATGAGCTCAGGCCAGAGGTGAAGCAGAGCAAACTCACACTCTTTGACTACAAAAGAAAATGCATATTTTTGATGAGCCTGCACCGGCTGCCTTCTCGGGCTTAGAATAATGTTTCATCCCCTTTTTGCCTACGAGGAATGTTGTAAGTAGGCATAAACAAATGCCTTCATTATTTATCCTAGTCGTGCTGCACTAAATCATTCTACATGGGAAATGTGTTATTTTGTTTGGCTGGCAATTGGTTAAGCTAATAGGCTCTGAGAGTCTTCCTTGGAGTTAGCACTTGAATTATTCTAGTGCAAGTGAGCACTGGTTAGATTAAAAGTTGTTATAAAAACTAGAGCCATGAGATTGAGTAAAAACGCTTCCATCACCCTGACCTCTGGCACCTTGAAACCCAGGTGGTATTGTGAATGTAAAGACAATCACCTCTCGGCTGGGACTGTGGTCAAGTGTGCCACAGAGTCCTGGATGAATGTCCCTCTGGGAAATCAGACTAATGGGGAGGCTTCTTCCTAAGTTTTCTTCAGAGTGACCATCCTTAATGTAGAAGAAATGGTAAGCAATAGCAGGTTTTCCAAATGAAAACTCTGGTTTGGTGGATCATTAAATACTGTGTTTTGTGCCATACTAAGCAAAGTCATTGAAAACTCTGTCTCCCCATCCCTTTCATAAAACTCCCAGAAACTAGGCTAGAGATCCAGTGAAGTGGACCTCTTGTCGCCCATCCCCAAGCCAACAACCTTCCTGAGTCTCCTGCTTCTGTAGATGGCATCACCATTGTCCTAGTTATTCAGTTCTATGGACACCTATTCCTAAAGATTCATCCTTTATTGTTCCCAAATATGGCAGAGTCTTTCAACTTTCATCAACATCAACCTAGAACAGGCCCACAACCCCCAAAGACCATATGTATCCCAACTCATCTTTCTGACACCATGATGCTGGCAGCATAGTGCCTTCATATTTATTTACTTATGTAGACTGGGCACTATGCTAAGTATTGTACATGGGTCACTTTATTTAATTCCAGAAACCATGCTAAGAGGTCAGTCCTCTTTTTAAGCCAGTTTTCAAGTGCTTTACTCATGGTCACATGGTGAGAAGGGCTGGGATTTGAATCCAGGTGTTGTAAACATTGCATTTATGGCCAGATTCTTCACCCCTTCCAGTATCCTTGTCCTTTTCCATGTGAATTTGCAGTTCTCTTATCAAGAAATGGAATCCAGCCCTAGCCAGTTTTGCTCAGTGGATAGAGCGTTGGCCTGCGGACTGAAGCGCCCCAGGTTCTATTCTGGTCAAGGGCACAAGCCCTGGTTGCTAGCTCAACGGCCCAGGTTCGATTCTGGTCAAGGGCACAAGCCCTGGTTGCTAGCTCAATCCCCAGTTGGGGGCGTGCAGGAAGCAGTCGATCAATGATTCTCTCTCATCATTGATGTTTCTACCTCTCTCTCCCTCTCCCTTCCTCTCTGAAATCAATAAAAATATGTTAAAAAATATAAGTGGAATCCATTTCCCTACCCCTTGAGGCAGAGCTCAACCATGGATTGCAGGGTTAATCAGTTTCCTTTATACCAGCAATGAACAAATAAAACTTGAAATTAAAAATACAATATTATTTACATTAGCAACCCCCCAAATGAAATACTTAGTATAAATCTAACAAAATATGCACAAGATCTATATGAGAAACACTAAAAAACTATGAAGAAAGATATCAACTCAATAATGTACAGCTATTCCATGTTCATGGATAGGAAGATTCAGTGTTGTTAAGATGTCAGTTTTTTACAACATGACCTATAGATTCAACACAATCCAAATAAAAATTCTAGCAAGTAGTTTTGTGGATATTGATAAACTGATTCTAAAGTTTATGTGGAGAGGCAAAAGACCCAGAATAGCCATCACAATATTAAAGGAGGAGAATGAAGTTGGAGGACTGATACTACCCAACTTCAAGACTTATGATAAAAGTCTTATAGAAAATAAGACAGAATAGTACTGGTGAAAAAGAAGACAAATAAATCAGTGGAACAAAATAGAAAGCCCAGAAATAGACCCAAACAACATATTAATCTTTGGCAAAGGAATAAAGGCAAAACAATACAGAAAAGATAGCCTTCCAACAAATGGTGATAGAACAACTGTACATTCATTTACATGCAAAAAAACCAAAACAAAAACACTAGAATCTAATTTTTACCCCTGTGATAAAAATTAACTGAAAATTGATCATAGACCTAAGTGTAAAACTCAAAACTACAAAATGACTAGATGATAGGAGAAAATGTAGATCTTGGATTTGATGATGACTTTTCAGACACAACACCTAGACATATATACAAAATAAATAATTGATAAGCTGGATTTCATTGAAATAAAAAATAAGCAAAAAACTTTTGCTCTAAGAAAGTCAACATCAGCCCTGCCAGTGTGGCTATGAACCAGGAGGTCATGGTTTGATTCCTGGTCAGGGCACATGCCCAGGTTTTGGGTTTGATCCCAAATGGGGGGTGTGCAGGAGGCAGCCAATCGGTGATTCTCTCTCATTATTGATGTTTCTATCTCTCTCTTCCTCTTCCTACCTCTCTGAAATCAATAAAAATATATCTTAAAAAACACACACACAAAAGAAAGTCAACGTCAAGAGAATGAGATAAAAAACCTAATACTGGGAGAAAACATTTGCAATAGACATATCTGATAGAGGAATGTTATATAAAATATATTAAAAAACTAATAAAACTCAACAATAAAAGACAACACAATTTAAAATAGACCTAAGACTTTAATAGACACCTCACCAAAGAAGATATACAGGTGGCAGATAAGTATATGAAAAGATGCTCATATCATTATCAATGGAGAAATGCAAATTAAAACAACAATAATATACCACTACACACCTATAGAATGGCCAAACATTGATAACACTCAATACTGGCAAGGATGTGGAGCATTAGGAGCTCTCATTCATTGATGGTGGGAATATAAAATAGTACAGCCAGTTTGGAAAATAATTTAGCAGTTTCTTATAAAACTAAGCCTACTCTTATCATACAATCTAACAAACACACTTGTTGGTATTTTGAAAACTATGTTCATGCAAAGCCTGCTCATGGTGTTTATAGCAGTTTTATTTATAATTACCCAAACTTGAAAGCAACCAAGATGTCCTTCAGTAGGCTAATGGATAGGTAAATTGGTATGTCCAGACAATGGACTATCATCAGCATTAAAAAGAAATGAGTAATCAAGCAATGAAAAGACAGAATAATCTTAGTCTGAAATATTATAGTAACCTGATATTACTAAATGAAAGAAGCCAATTTGAAAGAATTTATGCTATATGACTCCAACTACATGGAAAAGGCAAAACTTTGAAGTCAATAAAAAGACCAGTAGTTGCCAAGGGTTAGAGGGAAGGGAGGGGTGAGTAGGTGAAGCAGAGGGTTTTTATATTGCTACTAGAGGCCCAGTGCACGAAATTCGTGCACAGGTAGGGTCCCTAGGCCTGGCTGGCGATCAGGGCCAATCAGGGTCTTCTGGCTGCTGGCAAGGGCCTTCCTTCGTTGTGCGCCGCCCCCTGGTGGTCAGCGTATGTCATAGTGAGTGATAGAACTTCCTGGTCTCCCAGTTGAACTCTTGAGGGGACACTTTGCATATTAGCCTTTTATATATACAGATAATTATGGTTACATATCATTATGCATTTGTCAAAACCCATGTAATATACACCACTGAGGTTGAACTCTAATGTAAACTACGGAATGGTTGACAATAATGTGTCAATGTAGGTTCATCAGTTGAAATTATAATGTAGTATGTTCATCAATTGTGATAAATGTACCACTCTAGTGAGAGATGTTTATAGTGGGGGAGGCTGTGCAGTTGTGGGTAGAGGGAGTATATAGGAATCCTCTGTACTTTCTGCTAAAATTTGCTGTGAACTTAAAACAACTCTAAAGATAAAGTATATTTAAAAGGGGATAATAGCCCAGTGGGCATGGTTCAGTGGTTGAGTGTTGACCTATGAACCAGGAGGTCATGGTTCGATTCCTGGTCAGGGCACATGCCCAGGTTTCGGGCTCAATCCCCCGAGTGGGGTGTGCACGAGGCAGCAGATCAATGATTCTCTCTCATCATTGATGTTTCTATCTCTCTCTCTCCCTCTCCCTTGCTCTCTGAAATAAATAAAAATATATTTAAAAATAAATAAATAAAAGGGGATAGTAAATTAATTAACTATCTGAAAAAACAACAATACAAGTGACAGAGTAGCCCTTTACCCTTAAAACCTTGCTTTCCCAGTATTCTGCCACAAACTTCTGCTCTACCCAAAGTGGCCAATTCAAGATCCCCCAAAACTCCTGTCCTTTCCCATTGTCTTCCTAGCTCATAGAGTCTACTGCCCCCTCTCTTATGCACTGAGTCCTACACCTCCCCTAAGTCATCCTTTCTAAAGACGATGTTTCTTGCCCCTGAATGCCCCTGCATCTATGCTAATCCTCTGGCTCTTATCATTGGCTAACCTGTGGTATTAGGAAGGGCATTTTGTTTTTATGTATGTATATCAGCTCTCTGATGTGCAAATTCTTTCAGGACACAGACCTTGCCTTATGATTTGTGGTACCTCCCTCAGTCTTGTATTTAATTCAAAGATTAAATTAAAATCTACATTAAAACATCAGAGTGATAAGTGGCCACAAAGCTTCCACACTGGGAGCTGCATCTCACAGTTCCTCAGTGTCACAGTGCCCCGGTGGAAATGACTCCAAAGCAGCCTGCAGAGTTACCTTCTGATCCCC